CTGCTCCTGCTGCTGTAGACGTGCTGCAGACAGCATAGGCGTTCATGTGTTGTGAAGGCGTGGTTTCGAGGGGTGGTCTGAAGGGAGAGGCATGGTTGTGTATGTTCTAACATATAGCTTGACAGAGCTGTTTTTCCAAGATCTCCTACAGCACCTTTAAAGGGATCCATCCCTTCTGAGCCACTCCTCAGCATCTCCTGCTCTGTGTTGGTCTGTCATATGAAATGTTTGTGGTCTGATTATCTCCAACCTGTTTTCAGGACAGACAACGTTAACGTATCTCCTCTGTGTCTAGATCTCAAGAAGCACTGTTCATTGGAGGTGTTCGTCACGTGGGAACCAGGCGAGGATCTGAGCCCCAAACAGCCCTCTTGTTCTCAGGCTCCAAAGATCCTGATGCAGCCCTGCTTCCTCCCTTGTGGCCAGGCCAACCCAGACCCCCCAGTCCCGTCTCAGGGATTCTGTGGAGCAGTAGGGAAGCCGGTCTCCCTGACCTCTCTGCAGCCCCTGGTGTCCCCGGTGGTGGTCCTCCATAGGTTCTGTGAGCTGAACGGCTACGGCCAGCCATTGTATGAGCTGAGCAAAGGCTTGCCCCGATCAGATGGATTTGTCGAATTCTTCTACAAGGTTCTCATCCAGGGCGTGAGAAGCAGCTTCCGTGGGACGGTCATGGTCCTGCCTGGACCTAACTGCAGAGCTACAATAGACGAGGCCCGGCGGGCCATCGCCCAGCAGCTGCTGCTGAAAATGCCCAACTCCCATTTGGCCGCCTGAAGTCTGCAGTTGGTTTTATCACCGCCAGGCTGGTTTCTGTCCATGTTTTAGAAAAAAAAAAAGGTTGCTTGGTGTGCTTTTTCTTTTTTGCATGCTTTTAATTGTGTTCCATAGTTGTGTGTTTAAACTTTAGAGTGTTGTCTGCTAATGTTCAGTATTGTGTTTTGAGTTCCTCTTTTTAATTAAAATAATGTCTGTTGTGAAAACGGCTGCTTCTTTTTTTAGGTGTGTGATGAAGGACCCTTAAGATTTATGATGATTAAGTATCTACCCATTCATTAAGTTCTTCCCTTCTGTGATTCTCCAGACGTTAAACGAGTCTCTGCTCCATCTGCTTCAACTCTGCAGGAGACCCTCCAGAAAGGACCAAAATAAAAACTATTTAAAATCAATCAGTACGACGCAGTGACCTCCAGCTGGGTGTCCAATGGCCCCTCTTTGGAAATCCCTGACCTAATGCATGATATGAATATTAAATTTATCATCAAAGAAGTGGTTCAAAAAGCCCTAACAATGGGAGAAAAACATAAAATGAGGGCAAGTGATGTTGCTTAGTGTGGTGGGGAGCCAGGTGGTTTGGGTTTGTTCACCTGGAAGTCAGGTTCCTCCTCATTGGACCCGTCCGGGCCAAGCCCTACCTGCAAGGGGAGCAATGAGGGACCAGGACTGGACAGCATTGGTAGGCCTCTGCAATCTGATCCGCAGGCCCTTAGTCTGACTTTTAACTAATCAACTAAAAATAAACAACTATATTTGCAGTTACTGACTGACTGGTGTCGTGGGAAAAAAAGTATTCAACTATTCATCCTAGTTAAATAAACGGAGATCGATGGATTTCAATCAGTCGGCACATTTATTCATATCTTTGCAAAGAGAGAACAGTTCATCATACAGCCCTAATGGCACAGTGTTCTGCCCTGTTCTGCTAGAGCAGCATTAGTTCCTCCTTACTTACAACAATGGACAAGTAGTCAGAGTCAAAACAAATTACAGACACTTTGGTTCAACAGTAACATGTTATGAATTAACCTTGAGAAAGAATCTGGTTTGTTATGGGAAGAAGGTATGTCTGGTCTACAAACACCATCCTGCAGAGAATAGTGTGGCCTTCAAGGTGAAACAGACTGAGTAAATAGAATAAATTAATATATAATAGAAGAGAAATCTAATCTTTCCGACAACAGTCCACCCTTTCGATTATAAAAGGATATTATCCTTGTATAATCGATATTATAAAAAAGGAAAATTTATGAATATAAAAAAACTAAAAACAAGAAACTAAAATTGTGAATGAATGTAAAGAAAGCTAAAAATTTAAAAACTAAAATTAAAAATAATTTTAAAAAAATATGAAAAATGCACAACTGCAATTAAGTCAGTGGAAGATGTTAAATTATTATAATAGATGGAAAAGATTATGATGGCTAAAATATGTTGCCAATAAATAGAGCCTTGGAATCACAAAAATATTTACTGTTTTTCCCTATGATAATATCTATTTGCTGAGAATTTAGATTTTTAGTTCTTTTCAGTTACCCTTTTTGTTTCCCTGGAAAGAGAAAAGTTCAAATCAGTCAAAACAATAGATCCCTTCATGTCTACAAACTGTAAGTCAAATTATTAATATGAGCTTCATTAAAAGTAAAAAAAGATCAATCTCTATGCAAAATGTTAAAATCATAACACAAAGTTGTTTCACACAGATTCAGTTCAGCTCTTCAGAATCAGG